GGCTTGATCCCAGGACCCTGGGATCAGGACCTGAGCCAAAGGCAGACGCTTAACCGACTGAGCCACCCAGGCTCCCCATTCTTGGTATTTTTAATGGTATTGAGTCTCACAATGCAAAGCAAGAATCAGAGGATGTGATACAGGATACTTTATCAATTAGCAATGACGATGTGACTGTCTGCCACATTAGGGCTGCCACCGCTGAGAGAAATGAAGTCTGCCTAATTGATGGTACCAGTCCTGGGGTTACTACACCTATCAAGCAAGATGGTGTTCACTGTCAACCTGCCAAGAACTAGGAACATTAAGAACCAGGGGGCAGTAAAAGAGGCCCTTCTCTTTCCCCTTACATACATGTTAAGTATTACCTTTACCAGTTCTGTCTCTTCTGCCTGAAGGTGAAGTTCTTCATCTGGCTGGGAATCTTCTGGATTCTGAGGGGATACAGGATAAGATCTTTCAGTAATAGGCTGCCTATGACCTACAGCAGAGCCTCAACAAGCAACATCAGTCCACCGTGGATGTGGCATATATGGGATAACCTCTTCTATTGTTTTATTTAGGGCTGAAATTAATGTCCCATAGTAACATCTAATTATAATCTTCTTTGACTTTGTTTAAGACAAGGACAAACACAAGACCGAGAAAGATATAACTGCATAGTTTCTAAAGGAGGCTTCCAACAAAGAACCTATCACAACAAAAATAAATTTATAATAAGAGGCCTTCAGATGCTACATAATTTTCCCTCTCCATGTAAGGTTGAAATGTATTTCTTCAGAAAGTATCTATCTTGCTCAAGAAGAGTACTCAAAACCTACTAACACTATGTATTTTCCACAGTAGAAAATCATTAGTGCTTTGGGGGTCAGGAGGAACAGATATCTCACAGTCATTCAGGAGGTATTTCAGGGACTTCTCACTATATTGTTTTCTTCCAAACCTTATAAACTGTATCCCCATGAGGGCCTGATTTTATAGATGAAATAGTCTTTTATTCTATCTTTCTATTAGTACTTAACAATTTTAGGTTTTGTGTGTGCCATTTTAAAAACTATGGGTAATACAACTGTTTAAAATCCATTGAGAAAAAATGTTATCTTAGTTCTTCCCTCCCAAGTTCTTATCTAAAAAATATAAATATTCAGCTTCCAGAAAATGTGAACCTCAACCTCTGGTAGTTAGGGATGGGTTTGACCATGTCAATACCAGACAAATACTTTGGATCTACTGATCAAGGGCAACATTTTGGTTTTTATTTATCTTTTATTTATCTCTCTTTTTTTAAGTAGGCTCCACGTAGAGCCTAACACAGGGCCCGAACCTAAGACCCTAAGATCAAGATCTGAGTTGAGATCAAGAGTCAGATGCTCAACCAACTGAACCACCCAGGTGCCCCTTATTTATCTTTTTTTTTTTAATTTTTTAAAAAAGATTTTATTTATTTATTTGACAGAGACACAGTGCGAGAGAGGGAACACAAGCAGGGGGAGTGGGAGAGGGAAAAGCAGGCTTCCTGCTGAGCAGGGAGCCCGACGTGGGGCTCGATCCCAGGAACCAGAGATCATGACCCAAGCCGAAGGCAGACGCTTAACGACTGAGCCACCCAGGCACCCCCCCTTATTTATTTTTCAAGGGTATGTTTTAAGGACTATTTTCATTGTACATCCCAGCTACAAAGAATAAAAGATCACTACTGCAGGTTACTGTAGATTATTAATACAACAAATTATATTTGTTGGTATCCTCTTTTTTGGGAGCTCCTATGTCAGAAAGTCACTGCTAAAATACAGCTTTTATCACATTAACACCCATCTCAAACACACTCTCACACACATACATATGTATACTTAAATGTCTTCAGGGAAACATTAAAAGATTCAGCTTAAATATCTAATTCAGTCCTGCCTTTCATAACTTTCCAACTGGAATCACTAGCGCACCCCACTGTTCTCTCCCACAGGGTCTTGCCCTTGAACTCCCTTCTCACTTGAACCACCCTCACAAATTCTTTTTTTTTTTTTTTTAAAGATTTTATTTATTTATTTGACAGAGACACAGTGAGAGAGGGAACACAAGCAGGGGAAG